CGCAGATCAAGGATTACCAAATAGGTTTCTTGGATTAAACAGTCTCGAACTACTCTTCCCCATGCTCATTGAATCAGCAGAGATTAAACACAAACCATATTTTACAAATGAATGTAAGTCATGTGTTTATTTATAACTAAGTGTAATTAGGAGGCACAAATGTTCTATCACTATTAAAGCATAATACACACAATGAACAATTAGTTATTTGTCAATTTTAAAAAGTTTGTTAATGGGGCTTGAACAATGCTGGCAAGGTTGGTATTTATTGCCATCAAGTAGTTGGTGGTGACCCACATTCTTGAATATGCCATCCATGGGGCATACATCTTAGATAAGTTCCAGGTGGCCTGTCCAGTTTTATTTTTACTACAATTTTTTTTTCATTGTTTGATATGACAGAGTGTCTAACTACACCATTTCAAAGCATAATTAAAAGTCATTTTTTTGGGGAAGCATCGGCTTTCCTGCTCCTCTGATGCCGCCTGGCCTGCTGTGTTCCTCCAGCTCCATAACTTGTTATCTCAGAATCTCCAGGATCAGCTTTTCCTATTATCTCAGAGTTAAAAGTCAACTGGGTCTAGAGGAACATCCTGGTCCGACTAGGTAATGTGGACAGATTTTCCTCTCTAAAAGATATTAAGTGTTTTATTTTCCAAGCCTATCCAGGAGTTTCATTATCACCATCACTGATTTTGGCTTTTTTATTTTACACTTATTTAATTAACTGAATTCAGATGCCCTGGCTGCCATTATAGCATTTGAGCTCATCATTGACCCAGTGTAATTTTTAAAAAAGATGATATACATCTATGGTTACAAGGACTTGAACTCAAATTTTTATGGCCCAGTGTTAGGCACAAGTGAATGGGTTTTGACTGAGTTAAATGCCTCTAGCTTATTAATGCAGCCCCTTCAATTATCCATACAATAAACTAACCGCTATGTTCCTACACCCAACAAGAGGCCAATATCCTTGAGAAAAACAACTTAAAGGGAAATATGGAAGTCTGTTGTTGAAATGGATAAAATCTTGGTTTTTGGCAAATCAGAAAGAAATTGAAGCCGATCAGAGTTTAGTTTCTCAGATGTTAAGGTTTTGGATTTTTGTGCTTGTATTCATGGGATTCTTTCCAGATAATTCTAACAACGTCACGTTTGTATGTTCAATACATAATGCAATGTGCAAAATGCTAAGAAATACATTACTTAAATGTGTGGCTGGACAAATTATTATTACATACAGAAGGAAAATATATTTCAGTCTATTGGGTTCCAGACATAGTTAATGAGCTTTCATCTCTCAATCAATGAATAAATGAATAACATTGACCTTTGGATCAGCGGACTCTGTGGGTTCATTAATTAGCAACACTATGAGAAACTTTGTTAATTTTGAAACTGGCTGCAGTTCAGAACTTCTTTTCAAATGTGGATGCTTAGTCAAACAAAGCTCCTTATTTTATGCTTATCCAGAGATATTACGCTATATTGTGATATGGTAGGCTGAAATGGAAAATAATGTCCGACAGAAAGCTTCAGTGTACTGGCGCCTGGGCCTTCCCTAACAAAACAACAACCTTTTCTACTTCTCCCAAAGCTGACCTTAAAAAGGTAAGTGACCAGTCATAGACTTGCACATTAAATACATATTCAGATATTTTATCATTTTAGCTTCTACAGAATTTACAAATTTGAAGTAAATTTTTATAAAAGTAGGTTTGCACTTCTCTTCGTATCTGCATGGGTTTCTGCCAGGTGCTCTGGTTTCCTCCCACAGTCCAAAGATGTGTAGGTTAGGTGGATTGGCCATGGGTGATGTAGGATTACAGCGACAGGGTGGGGCTGGGTGAGATGCTCTTCGGAGGGTCAGTGAAGACTTGTTGGGCCGAATGGTCTGCTTCCACACTGTAGGGATTCTACGATTCTATGATACAGTGCCTTTTGTGCATCCAGTCTCAGGTGCATCATTTCTCTACCTGGTTCCAAGCAAACAAAAGCAATTTGTGGATGAAGTTTGCAAACTATATACATCTATTGTCTCATTTTATTGAAAACAAAGTGCACGTCCTTTCTCCAAGGGGAGACCAAGCATGCAATCAATGACAGCGCACCAAAAATGTGGTATTCAGGAGGTTAAGATGTGAGGGTGTCTACCAAAGTGGGTAACCCCATATGTTTTTCAGGATTTTGGTAAGGCTTCACTCCACTGCTGTGGGAGTGCAGCATTTCAGATGAGATGTTGAACTGAGTCCTCATTTGCTTGCTCAGGTGAATGTAAAAGATCCCAAGGTACTATGTCAAAGAAGAACAGGGGAGTTCCCTTTGGTGTCCTAGTCACTATTTATCTCTTAATCAGCGTTACAAAAACATCAACAGGGCATTATACTATTACTTCTCATGGGCGCTTGCTGTGCACAATTGGCTGCCACATTTCCTACATTACTTTACATTTCAAAACAACACTACTATCTGTAAAGCCTTTTAAGACAGCTGGTGGTCATGAAATGTGCTAATATAAATGCGAGTGTGTTTTCTTTTTTAACTCATTAATCACATGAAAGACAGAGGTAGATAGGTTCTTGATAAGCAAGGGGTGAAATGTTATCAGAGGGTGAGGGGGGGGAGTGGAATGCAGAGTCATCATGTCAGCAATGTACTTACCGAATAGTACAACAGGCATAAGGGGCCAAGTGGCCTCCTCCTGCTCTTAATTCCTATGTCAGTTGTGTTTGATCAAATCAATCTCAAAGCAACACAGCCAGCAAATGCTAGAGAAACTCAGCAGGTTTGGCAGCAGCTGTGGAAAGGGAAATAGCCAATGAACTGAAAGAAGAGTCATATCGGACTCGAAACATTAACTCTGTCTCTCTGTAGATGCTGCCAGACCCATTGAACTTTTCCAGCACTGTTTTTATTTTGGATTTCCAGCATCCCACAGTATTTTGCTTTTATTTCACTGAATACAGTGACTGTCCACTCCAGTGCAAAGAATGTATGACACAACGTACAGCAGAGGCCATTCGGCCCAGAAGATCTGTGTGTGTCCACTCCATCCTGCTGTCATAGCCTCCTATTCTTTTCACCCTCATGTTTCTACCTAGTTGCCCCCAGCAGAAGCAAAACTCTGTTATTGAATATATTAAACTTGAGGCTTTAACTGTTTCTGTCTTCACAGATGATGTCAGACCTGCTGAGTTTCTCCAGCATTCTGTGATTGTTTCAGATTTCCAGCATCCACAGTGTTTTGCTTAAAATAAAAGCTACCTCTGATTTTAAAATCATTTGTCCTTTGCAAATGACAGTTCTTATTAGCATATATATAGTTTGGATCTTTATGGAAAATAATAGCAGGTTAATGATACATTAATGTGCAAATGCGCTAACTTTGTACAATTGGAATCTTGTCCCTTGCATGCCATTTTCCGAATTTGCTGGATCTGCACATTAATAGCCATGAAACTTGCAGAATGTTATGACTACTGATCGTGCCCAGTTAATGATGTGATTGTTAATTAACAAATAAGAAACCTTCTGATCCCAACAGAGAGCAATTCAGGTTGTTCAATTTTACATGTATGAAGTCTGTAAATATGGAGTGTTTGAGCTATAGGGAGAGGCTGAATAGCCTGGGGCTTTTCTTCCCTGGAGCATTGGAGGCTGACGAGTGACTTTATAAAGGTTTATAAAATCATAAGGGGCATGAATAAGGTGAATAGCCAAGGCCTTTTTCCTAGCGTTAGGGAGTCCAAAACTAGAAGGCATAGGTTTAAGATGAGAGGGGAAAGATTTAAAAGGGACCTTAGGGGCATTTTTGTTTCATGCAGAGGGTAATGCATGTATGGAATGAGCTGCGAGAGGAGATGGTGGAGGTGGGTACAATTACAACATTTAAAAGACATCTGGATGGGTACATGAAGAGTTTAGAGGGATATGGGCCAAATGCTGGCAAATGGGACTCAATTAATTTAGGATACACAGTCATAGTCATACAGATGTACAGCATGGACAGCATGGAAACAGACCCTTTGGTCCAACTCATCCATGCCTACCAAATATCCTAAATAAATCTAGTCCCATTTGCCAGCATTTGGCCCATATCCCTCTAAACCCTTCTTTTTCATATCCCCATCCAGATGCCTTTAAAAGGTTGCAATGTTCCCAGCCTCCACCTCTTCTGCTGGCAGCTCATTCTATACACGCACCACCTTCTATGTGAAAAAAGTTGCCCCTTAGGTCTCTTTTAAATCTTTCCCCTCTCACCTTAAACCTATGCCCTCTAGTTTTGGGCTCCCCCACCCCAGGGAAAGGACCTTGTCTATTTACTCTATCCATGCCCCTCGTGATTTTATAACCCGCTACAAGGTCACCCCTCAGCTTCCAACGCTCCAGGGAAAATAGTCCCAGCCTATTCAGCCTCTCCCTATAGCTCAAACCCTCCAACCCTGGCAACATCCTTGTAAATCTCTTCTGAACCATTGGTTAGCACGAATAAATTGGACTGAACGGTCTAGTTTCCATGCTGTTTAACTCTATGACTCTAAAAGATGTCAAGTCATTGAAGTTTTGTTTTAATATGTGTTTTTTTAAAAAAAACTTATATCTAATCCTCTCTCTTGATTTCTCTCTATGTGGCTGTTTTGTTTCTTCTTCCCCCTTCTTGGGAGGGTCGGTGCAGAATCGATGGACCGTATGGCCGCTTTCTGCACTGCAGGGCTCCTACGACGATAGTCTGTCTTTACTGAGAGGTTGGTCAAGGAGCTGACAATGACTGCCCATCATGTTACGAGAGCGAGCAAGAACACAAGCGATTGTAGGTTCGTGCAGTGAGACAGCTGCCAGCTCTGTGCAGGAACTGGTTACCAACACCATCAGGTGAAACCTGGCTCCCAGGGCGGCGATGCCCACTCCGATTGGCTGAGGCAGTTTTCTTGTCTCCTGAGTGACAGCTCGGCCGTATTAAAAGCGATGCAGCGAGAGAGAGCCAGAGGCGAGTCAGTGTCTCATATAGTGAGTTTTGGGGAGTTGCAGCAACTGCATTGGAGCAGAGCGACCTCACAACAAAATAAAACGCCATCAACATGTAAGTGATCGACTGCGTAAAAGAAAAAGCAAAGTGCTTTCTCATTTCCAAAATACAGTTTATTTTCTCTCTCCGTTGGAGGAAGAGATTTGCAAACTTCAATTATTTATTTTTCAAAGTTAATATACTGATCGAAGTAACGACAAACTACCACATGCACAGAAAGATAAAAGTCTTTCGCTGCAACATGCATTACATTTAAAATATTTACAGCTGAAGGTTGTTGCTTCAGATCGGGCTCCGAGGCTGTTTTAATATCATGTACATTGTTGGAAAGAAGTCAATTGAGACTTTATTTTAAAAGTTAATTCAATTTCGATCTGTTTACAGGTCTCAGCTCTGTGTCGACGATTTTTTAAAAAATAAAATACGTCAAAAATGCCAATATGATTGTAAATATGAAGTTTATTCTGAAGCGATACTTGTCTCATATTGACTTCTTCCTAATTAAAATCGAATGGATTTGGCTTTTTGCAACGCTCTGTTTAATTGCACGCCTTTAAAGTTTGTATTTTTAAAATGTATGCAGATCAGGACTGGCATTTCTTTTTAAGATAGAATGTGGTTCTTCGATAAAATCCGAGGCTCCGTAGAAAACAACTTGAACCGTGACTCCAGCGGCAGGGACACCAAGCAGACCAAAGGCTCCCTGTTCAGTAACGTGCTGACTCCCGACAAGATTCCCGACTTCTTCATCCCTCCCAAATTTCCCAACAGCTCGGCCGAGGGGCCGGCTGCCGACGGTGCGGAGCCGCGGCAGAAGAAGACCAACCTGAAACCTTCCTCGTCCGAGCAGATCCTCATCAGCAGCAAGCCCCAGGGCAGCCCCCGCCTGAGGGGCCGAAGCTCCGCAGAGACCAGCAGTCACCTCCTCAAGGTGGCCAGCCGCCACATTATTCAGATTGAGAGTGCGGATGACACCAACTCTGATGATCAGACTGAAGCGAGCTGCAACACCAATTATGACCCTCAGTCGCAGAGTGCCATGTCCCTCCCATACATGCCTTTGACCCAGACCTCCTATGGCTTTTCCACTTTGACTGAAAGCCCTCACACCAGACGCAAAGAGTCACTGTTCCATGTGGACCATGGAAGCCCGGTCACCTCACCCAATTCCCAGAGGAAGAGGTCCAGCAACCAGAAGAGCAATGGGGAAACGCAGCACCTCAACACACCAGAGTTCACCCTGTCGTTGGCGAGCCCTTGCAGGTACTTCAGTGGCGGGGACAGTGATACCGCCTCCTCCGCTGAATCCTCACCTTTCAACTCGCCTCTTCTGTCCCGCTCGGTCTCGGGAGCATCCCTCCTCAAGATGTTCAGCCATGAAAACCTGGCCAAGCATTGCAAACCTTTGCAGTCGTTCACCCGAAACAGCTCTCTGTCCACAGATGAATGCAGTTCGACAGATGCCAGCCCCTGTGTCTCCAGGAGGGTCAGGTGCCCGACTCCTCCCGCTGGTGGCCCTTCAGCCTCGCGGGGGGTTCTCCCCTTGAGTTTGCTCCATTATCAAGACCGAGTACTGAAGGAGCACACCATCCGCCTTAACAAAGGGGGTGCTGTTAGGTTGTCTGCGGAATATGATTGCACTAACGCACGCCTTCGAATCCGGATCATCACAGCTGAAGACCTCTACGACAAGACATTGGACAACAAAAGCATCAACTGCTGTGTGATTTTGTACCTGACTCCTGGGAAGCTTCAGAAGCAACGGAGCACCATCATCAAGAACAGCAGAAATCCAATCTTCAATGAAGACTTCTTTTTTGATGGGCTCCCTCTGGATGAGTTCAAGAGGGCAGCTTTGAAGCTAAAAGTGGTAAACAAAGCATCCAGCCTCAAACGTGACGTGGTACTTGGTGAGAAAGAACTGAAATTGTCCTTATTACTGCCTTTCTTCTGATTATTAGCCACTTTGCTGTGCTTATCTTGAGTCAGGTTCCCGCAGATCAAAACATAATCTCTCTCAACAATGGCTCACTTTCTGTGAATTCGAAAGAAAAGCCATTTAGCCACTTGAAAATGTCGAAAGAATTTGTGGAATAAAGATTGTTGTTGACATCCAATTCAGAAATGGATGAAGTGAAGAGATTTGAGATACTTGGGTTGTGTCACCTGAGGAAATTCATATTTTTCTTTTACTCTTTTTAAAAGTGTCACAATTGGAGCAACAGATGACAAAGGATAGAAGCCCTTATTGTGGTAGAATTTAACTTATGTTGTGAGGAAAGAGAGTGGACAATACACTGAACTGTACTCATTCGCCCCAAGTGTAGCACACCGATGATGACTATAATTCAGCATCAGGGGATGAAGACCTGTTTCTCCACAAATGTTCTGTGGCTCGGCATATCCATGCAGTCCTGCTTTCCTTTCTGATTTCCAGGTGAAGAGACAGCTCCTGCAGACAAGCAAATGATGCCCAATCAGAGGGTCATGAGTTTGAATCCTAGGGTGTCTCAGCTAAAAGTCTTGAACTGTAAACATCCATTTCATTCGTGCATATTACAGGGAAGCAATGGAGCCTATTGAGACCGTCTCAGGCGCTTCCAGCAGCCGACACAAGAGGCTAAACAGTTCATTACAGTTTTAAACATGAAAGGCATGAAGGAAAAGGTGAAAGGCTGATTTAATTAATCTTTGTAAAAGTTATTTAATCAAGGTATACATATTGTGAAAGCTAAATATATGAAGGAAACTTCTTTCAGTTTAGCTGACTAGAAATAGATTTGTGAGGCATGTATTATATTAGCTTATATGATAATTTGTGTTTCTAAATATATATTGTAAGAACATAGCTATTAACAAAATGTTCTGTAAAATCATTTGAATAATAGTTTGATAAAGTATTCACTGCTTCAGCGCATGGGGTGAGCTAAATTCTGGTATCACATTCTCATTGAAGGGAAAACCGTGTGTGTATCATTCATCTTCTTTCTGGCAGATTTTTGTATGTTGCAAGTATGGTATTGACTATATAAAACTGCCTGATTATTATTGTATCTTAACACTTTTGCTTGAACTTCATAAAGGTCAGCTTGTAACTTCTGTGCAATAGCTTACTGTCTGTGTAGAAATACCAGTAAAACACTACTGTGAGCATAAACACAGGAAGTGCTGGAGGAATTACTCAGCAGGTCAGCCACATCTGAAGAGAAGAACAGACTTAACTTTTTGAGTTGGATCTTAATTTCTTCTGAAGAAGAGTCCTATTTGCTCCACAGATGCTACCAGACCTCTTGGGTATTTCCAGCATTTTTACTGTTTATTTGCAGATTTACAGCATCTGCAGGTTTTACTTTTGCTTTTGTTATGATCTTGTGAACGTGACTGGTGAAAAATAATGGGTAATTCTGTGTCCAAGGTCTTGTTGAAGAAAGTTGCATGGAAGATTCAGATTGTATCTGTACTTGAGATTGCACTAAAAAGCTTGTGTATCTTTTATTAGTTCCAACTTACACTTAAAAATAGAAATTTTGTTTTACTTTAACATTGGTTCCAAGTTGATTTATTCTCATTACTGGCCATTTTAAACTCAATATTGTTGCACAATTAAATGGTTTGAAATAAATAGCTTTCGAAAGGAATGTATAAAGGGAAAAAACCAAAATGCTGGATCCACATCTGCTTGTATTTAGAATAGGATAGAATCATATCCCTACAGTGTGAAAGCAGGCCATTCAGCCCATTGAGGTCACACCAACCCTCTGAAGAGAATCCCACCGTGATCCACCCCCTTTCCTATCCCTATAACCTTGGTTTTCCTCATTGCTAATCCACCTAGCCTGCACACCCTGGACTCTACAGACAAGTTAAAATGGCTAATCTGAGCCTGCATATCTTTGGACTGTGGGAGAAAACTGGAGCCCCCAGAGGGGACTGACACAGACACAGGGAGAATGTGCAAACTCCAAACAGACAATTGTCCAAGGCTGGAATTGAACGTTGGTCACTGTTGCTGTGAGGCCACAACTGTGCAATTATGTTGCCCTGAAAGCCAGCGTGTTTTTAGTTGGAGTAAGAAAATATGGAATTAGGTACCAAAGTCATTTGACGGATCCCATTAAACATGATACCCATGGTATTTGAACATCTCATTTAAATATTCCAATGACCTGCCCAGTGTTGAATTAAACAAAACATCCAAACAGGGAAAAGCAATCCATAAGACTACCCCAATGCAAGATAGCATGAAATTGATTTTGATTCTGTGCCATTTTTAAACTAAATTTCATGGCTAAATTCATAGTAGCAGACAATTTTCTTTTCTGAGCCTTTTTAAATTTGGTAAATGGCTTTCCATACTTACTACAATTCCACCAGCTTAGATTACAATGAAACTGAAAAACTGATCTATTTGCAAACTTGGAATGTGCTAGGAATACTGTGGCCTATTTCAACTGGTGTCAACTGGCAACTTTTTGAGTCTAATAACTTGTTGAATTGCTGTAGACTTCACAAAGAGCACAAGCTGTATTGTTGAGTTATTGTCATATAGATAAATCTCTGTAAGGGTGAAATAATTTATGAGGCACCTCAGAATATACATATTGAGTAAATTAAATAAACCTAATTTATTATTCGATTATTAATATTTATTAAGCAAATGAGAATGAATGTTTACATTTTATGTATATTGCTGTATGGATCTTACAGTTGTTGTGATTTGTCTCTTTTTTGCCATTTTAATTTATATGGAACGAATAGTGTTAACAATAGTGTTAATGACAATCAGGCTTCATGAAGCAGTTCTTCAGTGGTTTGCACTGTTCAATCTGTCCTGGTTTTGTAATTTTAATTTAAAAGTGCAGATCTGGTGGATAAATCAAGTCTGCGCAATGTACTGAATCCCCTAATTAAAAATCATCTGTGGAATGAGTGCCTTTTGTTTTGTTCTGATTCTTTCTTGAAACACTTACACAAGGGAAATTATCAAAATCATGAATTGCAAATATATTATGAATTGTTAGACTTTTTTTTTCTTAGAAAACATACAGATTGATTGGACCTCCTCATGATTTTACATAAGTTCATAATATCAGTTTTGGAATTAATAGTTATTTACATTTCTAAAGAAGGACATAATATAACGTATCTATATTCTAACGCTAGTTACATTACTCTAAAAAGCAAACACAGTTTAGAATCCCTCATTATTTCTACAAACTAAAAACATTTATTACTTTGCATGTTCTCAGGTGAGTGTCCATATTCAGTTTGGATTTAACTGAAGTTCCTTAGCCTTGGGAACAAATTATAATTGATGGAGAAGCATCAAAAGGCCAAATGCACAGCGTACTGAAATAATAATGAAATAATCTTTAGAAGTATACAGCTTCCAGGGCAAGGAAAGACCAACAGGCTTTTATTTCCAAGGGAGATTTTCAAGTGGCAAAGCATTGAATCACGTTTGAAGTGGCATAAATTCTAAAGGAGAATGTAGTAACACAAATGCTCTCAAGTAGACACCATGGAATCTTGGAAACTCATTGCTCAATGTATCTAAATAAAATGCAACAGTCAACAGAGCCAATAGATTTAATACAGGGACAAAACTGTACAGTAAGTCAGCACAGAATCACAATTATTATGGTGCAGAAGGAGGCTATTCAGTCAATCATGTCTGCATCAACTATTATTTAGTGCCAATATCCTTTAATTTCCCCATATCCCTGCAAATGATTACAATCCAAATACCCATCCAATACCCTTTTGAATGCCTCAATTGAACCCACCTCCACTACATTTCCAGACACTGCATTCCTTCTTCGTTGCATGAAAATGTCTTTCTATCACATCACCCTTGCTTCATTTGTACATCATTTTAAATTTACACCCTCTCATCATGCTCCTTTTACATTAAAAACAGCTTCACTGTATATACTCTGCCCAGACCACTCATGACTTTGAAAACCTCAATTAGATCTCCTCTCAGCTTTCTTTCTGGGAAGAACAACCATGTCATGATATAATGATATTCTAGGTTCTTCTAAGTAATGTATCCACAAAAATCAAAGAACTCCTACAGTGTTAAAGCAGGCTATTCAGCCCATCAAGTCCATACCAATTTCCAAAGGGCCTCCCACCCACACCTCTACCCTATCCCTGCATTTCCCCATGTCTAATCCCTCTAGCCTACACATCTCTGGACAATTTAGCATGGCCAAGCCATCTAACCTGCATATTTTTGGACAGTGGGAGGAAACCTGCACAGACATGGGGAGAACATGCAAAGTCCACACAGTCACCCAAGGGTAGAATTGAACCTGGGTTCCTGGTACTGTGAGGCAGCAATGCTAACCACTGAGCCACCGAACCACACCTGAAAATCAATTAATTAGGAGGACAAGTAAGTAATTCAACCTTATAAGCCCGCTTTGCTGTTCAATAAGATCATAACTGATCTGTTTATGCTCTGAATTCTACATTCCTAGCAAGAACCTATCTAACGCTGCTTCAAAATGGTCAGTGAGCCTCTGTCCACCACCATCTGAGGCAGAGAGTTCTAAACAGTCCGAGAGAAAGCAAATTCCTCCAATAAGCCAGTTCTGGTCATCAATGTACTTGGAAGACACTTAAGCTCTGGAGGCATTGCAAAGGAACATCTACAAGATTAAATTGAGAGGTTTCAGACATCATAAATCGCAGGCAGGTTTGTGAACTAAATAGGCTGAACAATTCGCAATGGAGTGGAAACAGAACCATAGTTTGTTTTTATGTCAGAAATATACTTCCAGAGAGAAATTAAGTGGGTGAGCTCCTAACTGAACAGGAAACCAGACGCCATGTTAATTAAGGCCAATTGCACCATTCTCAAAGCTGGGTGGGCAGTAAAAGATTTTCTAGCTTCTAAAGTTCTTCCACCTACAGTAGCAGGAAAGTGAGTAGGAGGTGCAGTCTCAGCCACATTTTCAAAGATTTAATGTAACAGACAGTGACTGGGTTTGGTGGGGTCGCCTACAGAGTGGTCTTCAGCAGAAAATGCACCAGGGAGGCAGGAAAGGGCCTTTATGCCTGCCAGAAGATACCACTTCAGTCTCACAGCGCCATGGACCTGTATTTGCATGAGTCTCCTCCAGGTGCTCTGGTTCCTCCCAGAGTCTAAGGATGTGCAGGTTAGGTGGATTGGCTATGCTAAATTGCCCATTCTGCCCAGGGATATGCAGGCTAGGTGGGTTAGCTATGGTAAAAAACCCCATGCGGGGTTTATGAGGATGGGGTGTGGGGGTGGGGCTGGGAGTGGGATGCCCTTTGGAGGAGAGTGCAGACTTGATGGGCTGAATGGCCTCTTTCTGCACGGGGGGATTCTATGATACCAGGAGTGGGTGTTCCACAGCCATTTGTTGGGTTCCCACCTCCGGGCAATTAATCTGCCCTCTCATGTCTGGAAACTGTTTGAAAAATCCTCATCAGTGTCCTTAATGAGCCTAATTGCTCGGCTGTCTTCCTTGCTGACCTCTGAACCATCCTTCTCCAAAACGTTGAGTAATAAAGTCACAGGCTTACGTGAGGCATGCCCCATTTATGCTGGGAATTTTGGACTCGAACTCTGTGGGACTAACACCATTAGAGAGCTACAGTGACTAACTCGAAGGGACACAAGATGTTGTCTGCCAAGTGTAACCATTCCAGAGAGAATGAACTACATGAAAGAAACTGTCATTTTGTTCCCTGAGGCAAACTGTGGTGCATTTACCATGAATCATGAACAATCTTGTTGCTTGTGACGATACAAACATGCAAATTAGGAAGACAAGTGGGCCATTTGGCCCCACAAACCAGTTCCACCATTCAATAAGGTCATGGCTGATGTGATTAATCCACATTCCTGCCTTCCCCAATAACCTCTCACTTCTTTATTTATAATAGTCTGTTTACCTAGAATCATAGAATCCCTGCTGTGTGCAAGCAGACCATTTGACCCATCAAGTCCACACCAACCCTCCGAAGACCATCACAATCAGACCCACCATCTGACCCCATCCCTGTAATCCTGCATTTCGCATGGCTAACCCACCTAGCCTACGCATCCCTGAACACTATGGGCAATTTAGCATGGCCAATCCACCTAACCCGCACATCTTTGGTCTTTGGGAGGAAACCGGAGCACCCACAGGAAATCCATGCAGACGCAGGGAGAATGTGCAAACTCCACACAGACAGTTGCCTGAGGGTGGAATCAAACCTGGATCCCTGGCAGTGTGAGGCAGCAGTGCTAACCACTAAGCTACCATGCCACCCACATTAAAAATACTCAAAGACTGCTTCCTCATTCAAAAGACTCAGCCTTGTGTGACAAAAATTATTTTTCTTAAGTTTTGTTTTAAATAGGTGGTCACTTACTTTTAAACAGTTTTAAATTATTTCTAGATATTGCCACAAGAAGAAACATGCTTTCTGTATCCACCCTGTCATGATCTCTCCGTCTTTTGTATATCAACTCTAGAGATAGAAGCCAAGCCTGCCCCAAGTCTTTGCTCATAAGACATACCACCTGTTCCAGAGTAAGCCTTCTCTGAACTGCTTCCAAGACAGTTATATCCTTCCTTAAATAAGGAGACTAATAATAGGCACCACACTCCAGATGTGGTCTCAGTAATGCCACATATAACTGAAGCATTATCTCCCTTCTTATCTATTCAATTTCCCTCACAAGGAACAAGAACATTCTATCGCTTTCTTGTTTACTTGCTGGACCTACATATGAACTTTTTGTATTCATGCACCCAGATCTCTCTGTAATCCAGAACTCTACCACTCACTTATTGTGAATTATGAGCAGTCTGGGGGTGGGGTTGGGATGATCGAGAAGCTTACATGGGCAATGTTTTGGTGTCGGATCAAAAATAAGCAGATTTATTGAATTTAATTTCAAAATTACTTAGGAAGCATTGAAACCCATGGGGCTGCCTTCTACAGATGCTGTGTTCTCCATTCTTCCATTGCCAATAGCTGAAAACCCACCCAACAGCTGTATTGCAGTGGGATGCTTAACTTGTTCCCAAATGAGATTTCCATCCCTGTCCAGGAGGAAGCCCCACCCTAAAGAGCTGCCGGACAGTCTGATTGGTCAGCAAGTCGCAGCAGCACCAGGATGGAGCAGTGGTCACTGCTGGGACAGCAGGCAGTGTCCAAGGAAGAAGGCAGGTGGAGCCCATAGTTGAAGATGAATCTGAGGTTTTCAGATGGGCCTGGCTGGCAGATTGCAGTGAGGCTGTAGGAATGCAATTGAAAGGACAGAGTGGGTAGCGTGACAGCAATATAGGTGCTGTGATCTTTCGGGCGTGCCTCCGATGGTCACAGTGGATACCCCCAAAAGAGGCAACTCCCCCATTCCTGCTCGACTGTGTTGTAGAAAGACTTTGGCATCCTGGAGCAACCTTGTGATGATGTCACTGAGCAGCATATCACTAGAAATATGTAGAACATTGTGTGTCGCATATGGACATGAACACCCAAAGACAATACACGCCCTAATGTAATTGCAGGATCAAAATATGGTATACAAATAATTACCATGTAAAGTGATATTTAATATTAATGTACAACAAATAATCGGGGCCGATTAGTTGAGTTGGCTCGATAGCTGGGTCAGTTCCCACACCAACTGAGGTTCAAGGAAATTACCAACCGCTCCCCTTGCCTGAGGTATGGAAACCCTCAGCTTAAACCACCAATAATTATCTTTCTCTAATGAGAAAGCAGCCCTATGTATTGGTAAGATTATGGCAACTTTACCATATCTTGATAATAAATAATGTTGCTTTGAAGACTAAGCGTGAAAACTGTTCATGACTTCCCCTTCTCCTGGACCAGTCTGTCTTGAACTCAAACTCATAGTGTGGGATTAAATCACATGATAAAAGGGACAGCAGCCTG